CTATGTGCGGGCGAGATTACCCATATTTGTCTACTGCAAGGCTCTTCCACCTTCATTTGAAACAGCTAGTTCTGGCCCCTGAGAGAGAGAGAACACTGGACTACATAGACTTTGGTCTGGTTCACTGTGGAAATTTCCATGTTCCTAATACATGGGTAAAATCTTTACAATTTTTGATTCTGAAACAGGAAATTAGACTCACCTATAGATATTTCATTAACATTTGTAGTAACTCAAATTTATTTCTGCACATTAATATTTCCAGCACTTTTCTGTTCCTAGAAATGGATGGAGGCTTTCTGATTGTCTAAAGCTTTCTATGATTGAATTTTTGTAGACAAGGGTCATCATCCTCTGAATCAGACACACAAAGTTCCTCCTGCACTTATTTAATCAGAAGAAATTTTGCTTGTAACAGGCAAAACGCATTCAAATTTAGTAAATATTTCAGTTCTCTTCAGTAAATATATCCCAGATCTATTAGCAGCTTTTAGTGTATTAACAAGGGCTCATTATCAAATTTCAAAACATCACCAATTTTCATATTCGAACCTATCAACACTGAATGTTACCTTCTCTAACATTAGTAGAGGAACATTTTAACATTTATTTACGTTGCTAACAGATGATCCAACCAGCCTCTGCTGTTTTTAAAACCTTCCTGAAGCATTAACTCTGAGAATTCCTTGGCTTTTGTCTGGAATGCTATGTTTTTTAGTCTTACCTGTGGGCTGTGGTTTTTTTGTTTTGTTTTGTTTTGTTTTTTAAAAAAGGAGGGCAGTTAAGGAGATCACTGAAGATACAGCTCTGCAATCCTAAATGCTTTGGGAAGTTCATTTCCAGTGGGCCCACATCCAGTGTGGTGAATAAATTCTTTGTTTGCCAGTGTGCACACCCATATACTCCCCATCACTGTTATACATGCCTGCTCTGAATGCTGTGGAATGAGATCATTACAGGTCTCCCATTCAAGTACTGTCCCAGTTCTGCTTTCCTTGTAGGATCTGACTGGATCATAGCCCAAAGAGGTATGGCTTTAGGTGATGGTCCTTTGGGTTGGTAGTGTGCGGCAAGAGTCACTGCACCATGGTGCAGGAGTGTGACAGTAAGCATTTATGGTAAATGAGTTGTTTAAATACCTTAGGATAGCCTAGTTCAGACAACTGCACTAATACTAGTGTCAGACCCACAAAATGCTGGGGCAGAGCTGGCAGACTGCACAAGTCTACCTCTACTTGTTGTTGCATGTGACTTTTTCCTTCTGTCTGGTCCACAGTAATGTTGGATTATTTAATTTTTTTGGATGCTGCTGCAGGGGATATTCTCAACGACAGTCATGCTGAAGTCATTGCCAAGAGGAGTTTCCAAAGGTAAGACATTAAACCCCTTGTGGTGGTATCTGTTCAGTGGTCTGTTTGGTCATATCCACTTTCCTCAGGACGTTTACGCTATTGTAATGTAAATGCAGGTGTCCTTCACCTGTAAGATTTGGAACACAGGCCCTTTCCCCTCTCCAATGAGCTAAGCTGTGCAAGAAGAGAATGGAAGAGGCTAGCACCTCCCATGTTCCTTCCACAGGCAATATGTTTCTGTCCTGTGCACAGGTCTGTTTTTTTCCCCTTCGGGGCCCCTCTCCTGTCCTACACACCCAGGCTTCTTCCTGCCCATTGTATACAGACTTTGCAAAAATAACTCTTCACATGGGGCTGATTCCAGGTCCTTTGGGCTCACTATGAAGCTTCTGATCAGACAGCAGGTGTCCTTGTGGAGGCTTTTGGATCACATCTGCCTACAGAAGACTAACCAGCCACTTGACTCACTGTAGTGCACTTCAGTGTCAGCTGGCTAGAGGTTTGTGGGTAGAGCCCTGCAAATCCGCAGATATGTGAACCATTTTTTGCGGATTGTGGATGGATGCAGATCCAAATTTTATATATTTAAAGCCCTGCAAATCTACGGATATCCACAGATCACTTTTGTGGATCATAGATTGGATGCGGATACAAATTTTGTATTAGTCCAGGGCTCCATTTGTGGGCCTTAATTTAATTATCTTTACTTCTTCCTCTCCTAAATTAAGGGAGTGATTCTCAGTAACTCTTCTTGCCCTCCAGGTATCTCGTCCACCAGCTGTGGCTGGCAGCCTCACACCAACAGGGCAGCATCTTCAGCCCAGGGACTGAGATTGGGAAATGGAAACTCAAACCACACATCACCTTTATTTTTTTCTGCAGCCATACCCCCTGTAAGTACATAAGAGCCAATCCCTCATGCTCTCATCCCTGCCTGGTGCATGTGAGCCAGCTACCCCAACCATGGCTGAGAGAGGGTGAGCCAGCCTCCTTCATATCAGTAACATATGCAGTGGATCAGCATTGGCCTGGCAAATTGGTGCGCTGCACTTTCTACCCTATTGGGTATATTGATGTGGGAAGGGAGCATACGTATAAGCCAGTACCTGGCTCAGTACATACAAATGCTTCAGTCTCCCCTGATTAGATAGAGACATGGGCCACCATTTTCTTGTCCCGAAACTAGCTTCTGCCAGTGGTCCTGTCATACTAAAAGCCTGTCATTTTTCCTGGTTGCTTTGCTTTACCTGCCTACTCACCTCTCATAGGGCGCCCAAGTACGTTTATTATACTCTGTGGGCTAAAGATAATTATTTTATTCCCCAATCCCCAAAAAATCCAAAAAATTAGGATTTTTTTATAAAATGAAATCCAAAACCCATGCTGTATGACTCGCTTCACAGCAGATTTATTCCCCCAACATAAAAAGATGCACTGTCCAAAATGACAATGTTGCAATTCTATAAGCGAAACCCAAGAACACGAGTCCCCAACCTATTAAGTAGTTAGGCCTATTGATGTTTCATATGTGCTGTGACAAAGTTCCTCCTCTATCTTGGTGGGTCCTGCGCTTATTGGTGGATTTTCTTGCCTCAGAGATTCACCATGTGGGTTGGGGAACAGCCCAGAGACCTTCCCCTCTGGAAGAACCCACAGTCCAGATCAATTGGGAGGTTTGGGGGGAACCCAGGCCCGCCCTCTACTACGGGTTCCAGCCCAGGGCCCTGTGGACTGCAGCTGTCTATAGTGCCTCCTGTAACGGCTGTATGACAGCTACAACTCCCTGAGCTACTTCCCCATGGCCTCCTCCAAACACCTTCCTTATTCTCACCACAGGACCTTCCCCCTGGTGTCTGATAACGCTTGTGTTCCTCAGTCCTCGAGCAGCACACCCTCTCAGCTCCTTGCGCCTCTTGCTCCCAGCTCCTCACACTCACACCACAAACTGAAGTGAGCTCCTTTTTAAAACCCAGGTGCCCTGATTAGCCTGCCTTAATTGATTCTAGCAGCTTCTTTTTAATTGGCTCCTAATTAGCCTGCCTGCCTTAACTGGTTCTAGCAGGTTCCTGATTACTCTAGTGCATCCCCTGCTCTGGTCACTCAGGGAACAGAAAACTACTCATCCAGTGACCAGTATATTTGCCCTCTACCAGACTCCTGTACCCCACTAGTCTGGGTCTGTCACAGTGCCCTTAGATACAGATACACGTTTGTCCCATGTTTGCTTTTTCAACACTGACCCGTACTACAAAGGTTTCACTAAAACATTCCAAATATGCTGAACCATGCTTGACTGAGAAGGAACTGGCATGGTCAGAGTGCAGCCCTTCTAAAAAGCAACAAACTGTGAATTTACATCCATGATTTTCCACCATTTTGATTCAACAAACTGATCCAGTCTTCTTCACTAACATAGATTTGGGACAAGAATCTGGATCTTCAAATCTAAGTGTGGGAAGAGAAGGAAGGGTACTCAGGGTTATGTTCTGTCAGCTATGTATCAGCCCCTTCCTGTTCTAGGTGTAACCCGGAGTGCCTGGGGTAGCCCTCGCTGAAAATGCTAAGATCAGGGTAGACTGCAAAAAGGAGAGCAGATTCTCCCAAAATTGGTGGTTAACACTGAAATTAGACTCACCAACCAGTCACAAACTGTTTCCCCACACTGGTTATCAAGAAGCTAAAAAGAAATCACACAGCCCACTTTATTGCATTCCAGTTCTCTGGCTCCCAATCACATAGGTCCAATACAGTGAGAAGTTATTTAAAAACTCTGTTTACTATACAGAATGTTCTTCTGACCCCAAAGAGCCAGCCACACTACGAGGTCAATATTAGTGCTGCCAGCCAATCCTTTAATGTCTAAAACTAAAGGTTTATTAGAAAAGAACAAGAAGAGTTGTTAAATGGTCAATCATATAAATATATATATTTATATTTAGAGAGAGACTTCAAAGTCCATATACCAGGTTCTTAGCAGTATTGGTGAGTTTGCTGGCTTGAAAGTCCCTCTGAACACATCCATCAGTCCTTTGTTCAGAGCTTCAGTTTGTAGAAAAGTTGCTTCGGAGGTAAGAAGTAGGATTGAAGACAAAACGGAGAAGATGCAGCTGCCCTTTATATTCCTTTTGCCATTTGGCTTGTACTTCCTGTGTCCCAAACACAAGTTTCACAGCACATAGCATGGAAAAGCCTTAAGGCACATCTACACTGGCAAAGTTAGATCACCGCTCAGAGAGCGCTGAAGAGAAACCACTGTTGTGTGTTCACACTGTCAGCTGCCTGCACAATAGCGTGTTCGCACTTGCAGCAGTACTCGGAGCAGTGCACTCTGGGCAGCTATCCCACAGAGCACCTCTTTCTCTTCAGCCACTAAGACTTGTGGGAAGGTGGAGGGGGTTGCCGGGCATCCTGGGTCCTGTCCCAATGACCCGTGATGCATTGCTTCGCATCCTAGAAATCCCTGTGCTTCTGTCCGCATTTGCTGCCATCTTTCAACAGTTTGTTTACTGCGTGCCCTGCCTTTTCGGGCTGCAGGAATGGATCCTGAACTGTTGACCAGTATGCTGCTCGCTCTAACATATCACGAGTGGCAGTGGAGTTATTTCTTAAACTGCAAAGGCAAGAGGAATGCGATATTGATCTCACCACGCATACTAGCTATGACACGAGATTGCTTGTGACATTCACAGAGGTGCTGACCACAGTGGAATGCCGCTTTTGGGCTCGGGAAACAAGCACTGAGTAGTTGGATCACATTGTCATGCACGTCTGGGATGAGGAGCAGTGGCTGCAGAACTTTTGGATGAGGAAAGCCACATTCATGGGACTGTGTGATGAGCTTACCCCAGCCCTGCGGTGCAAGGGCATGAGAATGATAGCTGCCTTGTTGTTGGAGAAGCGTGTGGCAATTGCACTGTGGAAGCTGGCTACTCCAGACTGCTACCGATCGGGCGGTAACCAGTTCGGAATGGGAAAGTTGACCCTTGGACTCATATTGATGGAAGTATGCAGGGCCATTAATCGCATCCTGCTCCGAAAGACCATGAGTCTGGGCAACGTGCGTGACATTGTGGATGGCTTTGCATAAATGGGCTTCCCTAATGACGGAAAGGCGATAGATGGCACACACATTCCAATCTGGCACCAGACCACCTAGCCACCAAGTATATTAATCGGAGGAGGTATTTCTCAGTGGTTCTCCAGGCACATGTGAATCACCATGTGCATTTCACAGACAGGAAAGATGCATGACCCACGCATCTTTCAGAACACTGGCCTGCTCAAGAAGCTGCAATCAAGGACTTTCTT